CCATCAATCCAAACTCCCGTATCTCTTTCAACGAGGCTGCTCTCCAGCAGCTGCATTGTCAATGACTGCATTGTCTCTCGAGTGCTTTTCAATAACTCCCAGAATGACCTTCTCCATAATTTTACCAGGCACTGAAGTGAGATCGACAGGCCTGCAATTACCAAGGTCTTCCTTCTTGAAAATTGGGACAACTTCCAGTCCCCAACTTGCCAGCTTCCATTCAGCTGGGATCTTTCTAGACTCCCAAGACCATTGAAAAATACTGGAGAGAGGTCCCACGTTAACATCGGCCAGCTCTTTCAGCACCCTGGGATGAATCCCATCAGGCCCCACAGACTTATGCGCATCCAGCTGGAGCAGCAAGTCTCGAACAAGTTCAGGGTCGGCTGGAGGTTTATCACCCCCCCAGTCACAGTCTTTCAACACAGGGCTCCGGGGATCCCAGGGCCCATCATCAGTGTTGATAGCAGAGGCAAAGAAGGCATTAAATGTCTCTGCTTTGTCTACAACCCTATTTGTGAGGCAACCAACCTCATCAAGCAACTGACCAATGCTATCTCTGATCCTCCCTTTGCTGTTAACATATTTTAAAAAGCCTTTTTTGTTGTTCTTCACGGTGCTGACCAGCTTGAACTCTAATTGAGCTTTGGCCACACTAATTTTCTCCCTACAGTGGCGAACAGCATCTCTGTAGTCCTCCCGTGTCACCCGTCCTTGCTTCCTGGTTGTGTCTTCTTGTGGCAAAGTAATTTTAAACATATAGTTACAAATAAATATATAAAATATATACGGAAAGTATCCTAAGGAAAGGATCTAAAAAGGTAAAGGCTTCAGACTTGTAAAGACCATAAATAATCTCACAGTAGCCACTTGCAGAAGGTACCATAACAGTAAAGAGACCTTAATAAAGGGTCCTGAAACCACTTTACCTGCAGGATAAACCTCTCTGAAGTGTTCAACTAAAAAGCACATCGCTAAGATCAATTACAGTGAGGCATATATGTTTTTATTTACTACCGCTACTAATCCTCCTTTCAGGAGATACTGTTAGTTGTTCCTTTATAATTCTTTCAACTGCATTTGACTGTCAGGCTGTGATGTGCACTTGTGTGCTTAACTAGTATCTCATCTTTAGGTGAACTTAAAAAACAAAAAAACTATGGAATTTCCCATACTTACAGATGACTCTCCACTGCTTAAATGACTATCAGGAAAAAAAGAAAAACCCACCAGCTCTGCTATGCAATTTTGTGCTACAACTGAACAAACTCCCTTTAATTGTCACCTGTTCCAAAGACCTGCACAGGTGCCTGCACCAGTTTTGTTTTGCTGCTGAGTCCTGCAGGACCAACACGGGCAACTGAACACAAACCCATTCTCACCATGACATGTGCTATCCGTACAGTCCTACTCGTGGTTCCCAGCTGTCAAAGCACAGCACACCCTCTAGTACTGGCCAGGCACAGAGCTGTATCTAGGTCAAACAGTACTTCACCATCTCAGGCTTTGTCCTCAGCAAAGTGGCCAGCCACGCTACAGACAGCTAAATCTGTCTTTTGATGCTGTTTTGTAATGCTCATGAAGAGCTCTGCTTGAGCTAACTAGCATCAGCAGCTGGGACAACCCACGCGGGGATAACTGAGTACTGACAGTGTCCATCACTCAACTGTAATTACATTCTGCTCAAGATCGCTTGATACCACTTCCAAATCTACTGCTCAGTTCAAGAATTTTTTTTTTTCATTTGTCTGTTAAGTCCTTTCAAGACGGCATGTCCAATAGATGCAAATGGCCCAGTCAATGGTACAAAGCCAAACAAAAAATACAGTCTTTCATCAAGCTACATTTTGCCCAGGAATGAGCAGCCAAACAGCAATTAGAGGCCCTGGCCCCCTTCTTCTCTTCAAAGAAGCGTCAGTTATACGCTGGCTGGGTGGGGGGGTTGCCCTGGTTTTGGCTGCGATAGAGTTAACTTTCTTCCTAGTAGCTGGTACAGTGCTGTGTTGTGGATTTAGTGTGAGAATAATATTGACAACACACTGATGGTTTAGTTGTTGCTAAGTAGTGTTTATACTAAGTCAAGGACTTTTCAGCTTCTCATGCCCTGCCAGCAAGAAGGCTGGGGGGGCACAAGAAACTGGGAGGAGATACAGCCGGGACAGCTGACCCCAACTGGCCTAAGGAATATTCCGTACCATATGATGTCATGCCCAGTACATAAACTGGGGGGAAGGCTGACCCAGGGCCGCTGCTCTGAAGCTGACTGGGCATCAGTCAGAGAGCGGTGAGCAATTGCATTGAGCATCACTTGTTTTGTATATTCTAATTATTATCATTATTTTCTTCCTTTTCTGTGCTATTAAACTGTCTTTATCTCAACCCATGAGTTTTACTTCTTTTTTTTCCAATTCTCTCTCCCCTCCCACTGGGTGGGGGGGCGTGAGCAAGCACTGCTTGGTGTTGGCTGCTGTTTGCCAGCTGGGGTTAAACGGGTGTCTCCTCTTAACCCTTCCTTCCCATGTTACAGCCTGCTGTGCCTGGGGAGCTGACTGAATTAGCAGTTTGACCCTTTCCTGGTCAATGAAGTGTTTATATATCTTAGCATCTATCCCTTCCCATTGCTACAGAATTGAAGGAAAACAATCTTACATGACATGCATCACTGTGTGAGTAAAATAGAAGGTGAGGTTGGTTATGGAACAGGCTCCCCGTGGCAGTGGTCACAGCCCCAAGCCTGTCAGAGTGCAAGGAACGTCTCTCAGACATATGGTTTAGTTTTAGGTTGTCCTGCAAGAAGCAGGAATCTGGACTTGATGATCCTTATGGGTCCCTTCCAACTTGAGATATTCTGGACTCTATGATAAGTACAGTGGTATATGACAAGTATATCACATGTCATATTGCCTTTCTGGCACAGTATGCACAGATCATCTATTTTTTCCAATCAATAAATGACTTAAGACATTTCAAACAGATGCAAGACATTTATACTTTTCAGATTAATGTGAAATCTTACTCCTTGTTTTCCATTAACACGAGAGGGAGAGGAAGCAGAACAGAAACACTTAAGCAAAACCAATGTATTTTATTTCTATCAAGTTAGTATTTAGTTTTTAAAGAGCCGCACAAAACAACTTCAGAGAACTGCACCTCTTACAGTTTCCCATTAGTTATCATGGCTACTGAAAATATAAAAAACATTTTAAACTTGTTTTAACCTGACGCTCTTGTAGTTACTAATTTTTGTGAAGTTCAGCCTCTGCTGTAACTGAACACCACAGTCACAAGCATCAAAACTTATAGGTACTTTCCATACTGAGTTAGGAATGTCAGATAAACTATCATGCAAAGGTACAGCACTGCAAAAATCTCAGTAAATTTTAATTAGAAAGATCATATCTGAAATTTAGGACAGTGCTTGTACATAAAAATCTATAAACAAAATCTGTCAGCAAAATCAGTAAATGGTTGAATTATGTCAACAGTTGTATAAATAATACTTAGTAGACTAATATACTATACCATATGAAAATAACTCTTTAGAAAGGTAACAGTGGATTTATTCACTGAATACTTTTGTACTACAGCATTCATATTATGAATGGAACTGTTTATGACAGGGACATTTTCTTTGGTATAATGCACTTAAAATGAAAACAGGTTGGCACCACGAATGTAAGGCAAGTGCGTATCAAGGCAGACTCCTAACAGAAAGTCTGTGATGGCAATGACAGTAATCGCTGCATCGTTAAGTGTACAGGTCATACTTCAAAACTCTTCTTTTGCAGCATGCAGCAACAAGATACATTTTCCAAATCCTTTTGTAAGAAACCGCAACTCCTATAGCACTCTGTCAGCAACTGGTTCCTCAAGAGAAATTTTTAATATTGTTTCTTCCATCACCAGTATTATGTAAAGCTGGGACTGAAAAACAAAAGCAAGCATATAAACTGAAACATACTCTGAAGAAATAAAGCCAAAACAGAGAAAACAAATCTAAAAATTTTCTGAAGTTGAGAGTTACTCATAATAGCACAGATAACGACTTCTGTAATCAAGAATTGCACTTTCATATGTAAATCCAGAAAAAGGAGCTAGGAAAAGGAACTCAGTAAGGTTAGGCTGCGGAGAGACCATGTAGCTGCCTTCCAGGACCTAAAGGGGACCTACAGGAAAGGTGGGGAGGGATTCTTGACCAGGTAGGGTAGTGATAGGAGGAGGGGTAACAGTTTCAAACTGAAAGAGGGGAGATTTAGATTAGATAGAAGGAAGAAATTCTTCACTGTGAGGGTGGTGAGACACTGGCCCAGGTTGCCCAGAGCATCTGTGGCTGCCCCCTCCCTGGCAGTGTTCAAGGCCAGGCTGGATGGGGCTTTGAGCAACCTGGTCTGGTGGAAGGTGTCCCTGCCCATGGCAGGGGGTTGGAACTAGGTGGTCTCTGAGGTCCCTTCCAACCCAAACCATTCTATGATCACTTGAAATGCAATAAATTTTGGCAAAAACACAAGCAGGCTGCTAGCATAGACCCTAAAAACGTCAAAGCTGTCTTGATGAAATTTGTGGAAATATGTGCACACATCTAGCTGCTAAAGATTTTCATAATCTAGCAGTTATGAATAATTTCTGTACCAAAAAACCTGCTTTCAATTGCAGTTAGATAGTAACCAACAAAACGTTATGTGCAGTAAAGTTGTAACCTGTCAGGAAAGGAAATTAGTAAGTTAATTGACTTCTGGTTTTGGAGGAGACAAAAAAATTTAATGTTTATATCTGAACATTTAATTTATTGTTTATATATGAAGAAGTTGGGCATATTATTCCGGAGACTACTTTTGAATACATTTCTGAAATTCCCCAAATTATACGAGCTTTTCTTTTGGGAGCGGAGAAAGAAAGCAGTGGGTGGGAGGGAAGAAATGGAAATGTTACTGAAATTTGCACTATAAAAGTGCTATGTGAAGAATTTTTTTATTGCTGCCTCCAACGAACAGCATCAGCACTTACTTTTTGCGGTCCTTGTCTCTCTTCAAACTAAGAAGAGGGGTAGAGACGGATGCTTGTGATTGGAGTAGTTCAGCATTGGCTTTCTTCTCAATAAACATAACTATTTCATCTTCTAGAACTTTTTTCTTTTTCTCTAACTTCAGTTTCACTTCTTGATGCATTAGCATATGATGTTCAAATTTAGCCTGGACCTGTTTAAAGAAAGCACAAAAAATAGTTTTTCCAACTAGTAACACAAGGTGGTGATATCACAACACAAAACCCCTCTGCAATTAACAATAAAACCTCCCTCAATTTGGGTTATAAATCGTAAGAAATTACATTTCTTTCCCCAAACTGGTAAGACTAAACAACAGCAATGCAGAAAAATAATTATTCATACCAGATTGTTCCCACAGAAGCCAGGCTACTACACACAAAGTACAGGTGGAAACCATGGAAGGCACTAAGTGAAGATTAGATTTCCTACTAGATTTTACTGTATCTTTAGTATATCAAAAATAACAAGGCATTTAGAAAGGAAACAATTACCAACAGAAGGATTAAATCAGGATCTGTCAAGTAGAATGTACTCCCCTAAAACCCGGTGGGCAAGGAATCATATATGCTTTAGTCACACCAGTATACATTTTCACATATATATATATATATGTATGTATGTATGTTATTTAATATGTATATTAATTACATTTATATATTAATATGTACACACACAATTAAGTCTGGTTGGGGGAGTTACTTGTGGGCTGCAAGAAGTTAACTGCTTTTCTGCAGTAATTGTTCTTTGATTGTTCTTTTGACATACAAATGGATTTTACCCTCCAGATGCATCTTATCAGTTTAAACCTACTGTGATGTTGCACATGATAACCAAAGGGTGCTTCACCCTTCCTCACCTCCCACCTCCCCACATACAAACTCTCCTAGAATCCTGCTTCTGTATCCATCTGTACTGGTGTAACTCAACCTGAGTGCAGCTATACAGGTACAGAAATCAGAGAGGTTGATTTCCATTTTTTGCAAAAAAGAACTAAGAAATAACTGAGATTATAAATGTATCAATATGCCTGTTCTACACAGCAGAGCTGTCAGATTTTATAAATATGTGTGTATGTATGTATACTATTCATTTATTTATTTCATTGCAATAGTTAACCAGATGCATTGCAAAACCAGATATACTAATGAAAATATTCAGGGTAGAACAGTGAGGTCTTAAGCGACTGTATGTCTCAGGAGTGGTAACGCTGCACATTGCACCTACAAGTTTCCTCTAAACGAAGGATGAGAAAGCAACCTTTAGGTACAACAGAAATTCCTCTTTTTCTTTCTTTTCCAGATACACATACACACTTCTCAGAGAAAGAGCAGCAAGAGTATATGACAAATGCTCTTTAGGAATGACTTTGCCATATCAGCAACTGAGAAAACTAATACCCATAATTCAATTTAAATATGCAGAGCTTACAAACCACCTGGTATAGATCAGAGAAGGACAACATCAAAGGGCACCACAGATACTGTGTAAGACCTAGCTGAACCCACTTTGAACAGAGCCAACTATTCTTCCAATTGGATAGCCTCATACTGAGAAGGACTGAACCTGATTTTTTTCCTCCACAAGCAGCATGTGGGACTTAGCAGATCTAGAAAACAAATTATTAAGCCGCTTTCTTATTTAAAACATGCATCTGAACACTTCACAAAAATTGTTACATCTTTGCTGGGAGACTGAAGTACAGAAAAGAACATTAATAAATATACACAGGTTTCCAATTTCAGTTAAACCAGTGTTTGAATATAAATACATATGACCATGATAGAGTCTGGCAGAAAGCAGATAAGGAGATCCTGCTTTGCCAGTCCAGCTTGACACAACTAAATCTTCAACAACATATTCAAGAAATGTTCCACATCTCCAAATATTCTTAAGGCAGCTAGGAATAGATAACATTTTAAAAACAAACCAAAACCAAACCAAGAAACACCCCCACTTTCAAACCTCTCAACATGAGGGTTGAGCTTATATTTAATAACTGAACCTGGAGGTCATACAAACATACATGCCTCACTCTCTTGGGCTGAAAAACAACCCATAGGATTCTTTCCTGTAATCTTGATTTTTACAGAGCACCCTATGCATGAAAAGCACCTACTGTGCTGCTGTGGCATACCAATGTTTCTCAGCATACTGCTAGAGAAGACAAAGAAACATGCAACAATTATATTCATCACTCTCTTACTTCACCATTATCACCTCCTACTCTATTGACTTGTCCCAGCTATCCACCAAAGCCTTTAGACCATAAGCTCCCTCCTTCCAAAAAGAGACTGCTATTTATAGGACCACAGAATCGTTTAGGTTGGAAAAGACCTTTAAGATCACCAAGTCCAAATGCTAATCTAGCACTGCCAAGTCCACCAGTAAACCATGTTCTTAAGTGCCACAACTACACGTCTTCTAAATATCCAGGGATGGTGGGTGGGATCCACCACCCCCCTGGGCAGCCTGTTCCAATGCCTGACAACCCTATCAGTGAAGAAATTTTTCCTAATGTCCAATCTAAACCTACCTTGAGTTGCCCTTAAACGGCAACTTGAGGCCATTTCCTCTTGTCCTATCGCTTGTTACTAGTGAGAAGAGACCAACACCCACCTCACTACAACCTCCTTTCAGGAGGCTGTAGAGAGCAATAAGGTCTCCCCTCAGGCTCCTCTTCTCCAGGCTAAACAACCCCAGTGCCCTCAGCCACTCCTCGTAAGACTTGTTCTCCTGTTTGCTTGTGTCTAATCAATCTCCTAATCCAATCAATCTGTGTAATCAATCTGCTTTTGATTTTAAGCATTACCACCCTCAAAATACTAGGAAATTATAAATATCAGCTAGTTGTGATTTTGCTAAGAACTAAACTGTTCCAAATCTCAGCAAACAAACTCAAGACTAACAGGCATGCTTACCTGTTGCTCTGCTTCTTTCAATATTGCTTCTTTCTCCTTCACTCTCTGCACAAACTGTTGTCTCATCTCCTCCTCTTTTCTTTGCAGTTCAAGGTAGAACTCATGCCTCTTTACCTTGTAGGCTTCCTGTAGACTGAAGTCCAAAAACGTAAGCAACTCTCCAGCACCGTAAGCAAGTCTCCAGCACACCGCTTTACTTAATGTGGAAAACCAAAGTTCTGGAACATTATTTGAACAATTAATATTAATCTGAAATACTAGTTTCTGCAGTCCCCCACATAAAAATTCACAAACAAACCTAAACAGAAGAAAGAATCTTACCTTTCTAAATTTGGATTTAAGTAAACCACCCTGAGTAAAATTATTTATGCTAACAGCTCCTGGGCAATTTACATTCCAAAGAAAATACAGCACTTCAGGAATCTCACATTCTAAAAGACTGGAGTTATAACTTTTGCCTCCAACATGTATGCATAACCTTTTTCTTTAAGTTATTTATTAGTAAGACACTGAAATTGCCAGAAAAATCCCCCAATATTTCCGCATTGTAAAACCCCGGTCTCAGAATAGGTCATTACGAAAATGATGCATCTGGAGCATTGACACAAATAACAAACTAATTATTCCTATATGAAAAGGAAGGAAACCAGTGGGACCTCCAAAATATACAGCACTCTATGTAATGTCAAAATTTAAATGCGGCAGTTACATTAATATAGAATAAACAGAATTTCCTAAGTGCTTCAACATCCAAAAAGTAGGGTTACTTTCCAACCTTCATCAGCCAAAACCTGCTTGTTTTTTCCTGAATCATGTCTCCCAGAAGCTAATATACCAAACCTATATTTGAAATTATATAGGAGGTGTAAATTAGTTCAGATCATTGAGCAAATATCTGGTAACAGAACAAAACAGCAAGTAATTAAAACGTTTCTTTATTTTTAAATCTATGCCTCCCTTCCCCCCCCCCCCCCTTTTTTTTTTTAAAGTTACTCTACTAGACATTTCAGTATACATTTTTTTTCCTCCCAAAACAGGTACTTGAAATTAAGAAACTTCTTTCATATCAAAGCATATCATAGCAAATTAAAAGATGCTAGTAATTTAGTCATCTACTACTAGAGGTTTGACATTTTCAGGGTCTATACTACCACTGCCATCACCACAGTGCTGGCAGGAAAAGTCCTGCTTTTCAGCAAAAAAGGAATGGAGCTTGTACATGGATGTATGTCATACACCAAAGAGCCCGTTACTTTTGAAAAGTATAGCTGCTAAATGACACAAGTTCTTCCAATAAAACATTTACCACAGACTTCTCTAAGGCACAAGATTCCAGAGAGGCAGAAGCGGTAGATCAGAGCTGTGCTAATGGTTATTCCAAAAACCAAAAGGATCTGCCCAGTATCTTGTAGGACATAGGGCTTATGAACGGATCAAAACACGGATAATGTTCTAGTTCTTTATTCTGGGGATATTCTCTCACACCAGTCATCTCTTCTAACACTTCCTGAGTGCTGACTAGCCAGCCCTTCTCAGCTATCGTGAGTTACTGTCTTTTGCCAGGTACCTCATGCCTTCCACTCGGATGTAAGATAAATATATATGTATATCAAATATTTAAATTTGCTTTATATTTTTAATACACATACACGCTTTTCTACCAGTGTTTAAATCTTTTACTGTTTCTACTAAAACAGTTTATAAATGCAAAGACTTACAAAAAAGGACATCTGAAAACTTACTTATTTAGAGCAACAGTAAGCTTAAACAGCGCTCTCCTATATTTCAATTTATGATTACTAAGCAGTTTCCCAATCCTAAAGTTTCTTATTTGTATTCAAAGTATAATCTAAAGAGAGAGAAGAACCACCTTGAAAATGCACATGCAGAGTTAATGTCTGTAAGATCTCAAGGTCAGAGCACTTTTCCTATTCTATCTTCTTTGAGAAATACATTACAACAAAACAAATTTAGAACAACCACCTTTTCGGGTTTAGGTTTGGGGTTTTTTTTATCAGCTGTGAAGTAACTTAAGTCATCCTGAAATTTTATCTACCATGTGAAACAAGGGCATGGTTTTCACACAGGTATATTAATTCACACTATCTTTAAGTTTAGACGGCATAGGTAATAACAATAAAGCTACAGCACAGGTTTTTCAAGGGCTAGCAATCTCACAATAAAGCTACAGCACAGGTTTTTCAAGTGCTAGCAATCTCACCAGACACACGTTTGGGCCCTGTGTCAGTTCTGCTAGCTAACGTGCTGCCTTTGGTGCAATAAAGCCACTAGAGCAAGCGCTAGACTAAGCTAACATGTTGCAATTGCGCCTTCACTTCATTATGTGGACGTCTTTAGACTCAACCTAAGCTAGTTTATCAGGTAAAACCGATTTTCTCTTGAAATTAGTAAAAGATTAACTTTGAAGACACTGGATTTACTAAGTAATCAAATTACTGTACTTTTAAATCCCCCCTCACCCTGGACTGAATTCTTCCGGAAATCACAAAGACAAAACTATAACAAACTTTCCTCTTCTGTGTTTGGCATATCAGCAACATAATGATCCAAACAGTCTTTGGTTTTAGGAGGTTTGGGGAGGAGGGAAAAATAATTCACCAGATCTTAAGCCGACCCTTTCAACATTACTGCATCCACTGCTCACAGTAAAACACTTTTCAGTTTACCTGAAGACCGGTTTCACTGCTTCTCATACAGCACATTATGAAAATCAAATTCACAGGTTCTCTCATTCTTCTGGGTTGGACTTCTAGAAACCACTTGCAAAATTAAGTTGTTAAAAATAATTATTTAAATAATGTATTCTTATTGAGGTTTTGGAGGAAGGGAAGGGATTGTGAAGGAAGCCTGCACCTTACTAATCCATTACATAACTCCTAACAGCACTGTCACCCACCTTTCTACAGAAGCATTGCTGTGACATACAGTTTTTGTATCTGCATAAGATTTAGAACATGGAAGCCTAAACATAAAGATGCAAATCAAACATGTTATGTTCATAAATAATGACTCTGACTGAAGTGAATTCAACCCTTAGTGAAACACAATGTTTGTGCACTTTGAACAACACAGATATTTACACAATATTTTACACTTTGTTTATTTAAATTTTAAAAAGCTTTCAAATTTGAAAATTAGAGTTGTAGCTTTTTTCATAATATTCAACTATCAATTAAGGTATATCAGGAAAACTACAAAATTTTACAGTTAAACTAGTGGCAAGTATTTTTAGCAAGGTCCCTTGACCCAGTGAACTACCTAAGTTGATATTAAGCAGCACTGAGGATGTGGTAATCTAAATAATTACCATTTTCCCAGTGGAGGCATGAAAAACAGGTTTTTCGGATGCAGTTCCATCCTACCATAAGGAGGTTAAAATACTTAGCTCAAATGCAAAGGTCTGCAATTGGTCAGATGAACTCCACTCCCAAGTGACTTCCTAAAGAAGAAGTCTAACAGCCTTTCAGACAGTTGGTTTCCTTACTTAGCAAAGACAACTAGAGTCACATCAACCTTCCTCTACACGTAAACTTATTCACTTTCCTGAATCCTTCTTGTTCTTCTGTCGTCATCCTCAAAGGACGACTGAAAAATAAAGATGTTTTTGTTCAAGAACTGCAAGGTCTGAATAGCCCCGTTTCAGGGACAGATAAAGCATGGAACATATAATTGCACACACTGAGAAACTGAGATGTTTATGTTACAATTACGTTTAACTGCAATTATGATGAAGAACAAATTGTAATTATGACCACAGAAAAACAACTAAACAAGATAATGATAGACATCAGGGAATCCAACTAGGCAAGCACACAGCCTGAATACCAATCTTCAGCTTTTTTCAGCAGACCCTTGCCTATTACCTTCTTTCAAAAAAAGAATGTCCCCTTAAGCAACAAGCAACAACACAGCTTAGACCGGAAAATGAACTTAGAAAATGTCCAACTTCAAAACACTAGTGAACCTCCCCTCCCTTGCAAACATCTAAGCTTACTAGGTGTGTGTAAATTCAGAAGTTGGTTTGGCTTTATGTCTAGTTTTCGGTTTCCAACTATTCCAAATTTTTCCATTCAGGACAACTCAGCAATTATCTCTTGCTGAGAGTGACTCGAAACTAGGAATTCATGTTCCTAATGGACATAATGGAACCATCAAAAAGGCAGGACTAGACCATCCACACACAAAAAAGGTCTATCCTTACTTTTCAACAACAACAAAGAAATGCAAATCCCAATGTTAAGTATTAAAAAATGACAATAAAATCACTTCCTGGATTTTATATCCAGAAGATACTGCATCAAATGCATAAACCACCCTCCCAAATACTCTGCTATCCGCTGACTTCATTACATAAATTTTGTCATAACAGGCTTTCCAAGCCCATTCCTGATTGGTTGCTTTTCATGGCTTGGAAACCAAATTATACCTGTACGACTAAGTTTATCCTCAGACGGTATTCCATTTATTCCCTGAAGCACCATATGGTGGATTCTTCATTTTTAAAGTGGTTTACCACATGTTATATTTTAATCCAATATGGTACATAACTCATAACCTTTTGGAGTGATACCCCACTATAAGACTGAACTCTTCACAAAAAAAGTTTCATATATTGTTTTTGCAAGGCATACGAACGAGATTGAGCAAGTTCCCAATTACCCATTGATATAAGTTATGCTAATTGTTACCCAATTTAAATAAATAATAGTTTGATAAAATGCCAATATAAACCAGCTGTCCTGAAAGCAGCAGAATTAATAACTCAAATTCCTATGGATGATTTAATGTTCTATTCTCTTAATGACTGTAATACCCTAAGTCCTACCTACATCCTTACACCTTTTTAACTATACAATTAGTGTCCCTCCATACTTCCTAAATATTCTTTACTTACTGTGAGTCCTCACATAGATCTTCCACGTGCAGTACCCTTAGCTATCTCCAAATCACCCATGACCTTCTCATCCTACTGCAGTACTACCAGGCTTCCAAGAGCTTCAAAAGACAGTCCTTCGTCCAGAGGAAATGATTTACTGACAGCAAACACACACTGGCTGGCCAACAACTGGTAGAGGCAGAAGTCTTCTGCTTTTCCTGCAGTGAGAACACTAACCATGTAATCCCCTGGATGCACCCAACCCTTTACTGAAGTTTGAAAACGGAGAGTTGGTTCATAAATTACCATGGAGAGACTAACAGACTGATCACGTAAACTTCATTTTCCCTGGAAATCTGGTTAATGAAAAAGTTCTTAGAATGCAATTGCAAAGAAATTAAATTAAAACATCGTTATTACTAAACAAATTCACAAAAAATAGAGGATTAGGGAATGGGTATTTTTAAAAGCGTACAAAAGACAGTCACTTCAGACTACTACTATCTTTTCCCTCCTCACACCTAGCAATCAAGATGTAAATATATTTTTCAGTTTTGTGCTGAAACCATCTCTTTCCATGTCTCCCATAAAAAAAATAAAGCTTGCCAACATGTTTTTTCACATGTAAGAGTGAAAGCCTTTACAGATGTCTGCCTGCAACTTACCTCACAAGGTAGCTGAAAATCCAAGAATTACTGGTTTTGCTTTGCAGTGGCATACAATTTTGGATGAATAAACTACTGTTGTACTTTTAAATCCAAAAGAGCGGTACAGGAACTTCACAGGCAACTTTTTCACGACATGCCAAAAGGCAGGGCATGTTAGCTACTCAAGTGTCAATGTTCAAATGCTACAAACCCTAGTGCAGTAAAATCAGTCAATTATGCAAGTCTAGCAGAAATTTTCTAAATTTACATAAAATAACCCATTTCAGATCACCCAGTTTAGTATGTAGACAGCTACATCACAGACACAAAATATGACTTCTCAACATTCATTTTGATCATTATTTACACAAGTAGCATGAAATTTTAATCATCAGTCATATACCACTATGCAATATTAACTATACTTTAAAACTACAGTTCTTAGAACCCATGTATGTATACTGTAAACATCTTTAAGGACAAAGAGGATGGCAATTTAATGACACATTTTTGCCTAAAGAACAGGGTAATCCCTATTCTGAAAGCTATTTAAATATACAAGTCAGCAAAATGGGAAGCACTGAACTGCCTCTCTGGAAACAGATGTTTTCTACCACGTGCTGAGGATGACACTCTTTATCGTTTCCTCAGTAGCCTCATGAAACACCTTATGGGTAAGGCTACATTAGTCTGCTAATTACACTACATACAGATCCCCTAAATTCTCTTTCCTGTTTATGCTATCAAAATGTCTCTCCCGAAAGACCAAATGCCTTCTCCTTCAGACCTCAGAGTCACTCACTTTGCCACATAGCTGAGGGACAATGACACATCCTAGATCCAGACTCACTTTTCTCTTCCTGCTGCAGTAAATTTGGGAAAAAGTTACTTTTCCTAGATTCTTATGGAACACCTATTCTCATTCTTACAAAACAATTACATTTTCAACAGATGCAATTTACCAAAACTGATTATTAAGAGTATTGTCTCGCCACAAAGCTCTCAATAAACTGACATTTAGCGGGCCATACATAAAAACAACACACCAGCTTTTCTCTGTCTCCACGAAGCAACCTACTCCTAAACCAACTTCTGAAGTGTAAAATACCATGGCATTATGATACAAACCTGACACTTCATACCGTTAGTAAAATGCAAACTGTTTAGGGGTTTTACAAAGACAATCCTTGTGTTTGTGGAAGAAAACAGTTCTGCTGATCATCATTTTTATAATTTAACTCCTAATTTGCAATGGCCGTATATTGTGAAATTCAAGTTCAGAAAAGACAAAGGTACTGCAGTCAATATTGCCATGAACAAATCTCTAAAAAAATCTCTTTTCCTAGACAAAGATAACAAGATACCAGCTGTTAGTGTATGTTCTTCAACTTACACCTAAACCCAGTGAGAGAAGTCTATGGTCAGTTGCAGTTGGTTTTAAACTTCGTTCACCTTTGGTTCTCTAGGTAATGAAAAGGATTTACTCCTTTCTTGTTAAGTCAGAAGAAACATCAGGAGATCACAGTGATTCATGGTCAGCTCAAGATCATCTAAATGAGCTAACCTTTAAATGAGCCTTGCTGTTAAGACTTCAGAAAGAAGTGCCTACATCCAGCATCTTCCTTGGCCACATTAACCTTATTTAATTATTATTGTTTGAACAACATATATATTAGACCTAGCAAAGTGAAAGAGATGCTCCTCCATCAACACTCTATGAGTTACAGTAACTGCAACTGCCTTAGCACTTGTGTGCAAGGTACAGGTGAAAGCAAAGAATTTAAGCCACTAAAAACTATTTGGAGGGAAGACATTTAAAAGCAATTTATTTACTTTTACCAGAACAGAATGGGTAAAGACAATCTGATCACTAAGTAAAACAAGAAGGGAACAAACCAGTTGGTTCAAAGCACTAGAAACTGGTTTTAATGCAAAGCTGTATTTTGTTTTCATGTCTGGTTTAAGTCGGTATTTCCCCCCATGACCATGCAATAATAGCACTTTGCTAAACCATGAAGGCTTGAACAACTCCTGAAGCATCAGTTCTTCCCCATCAGGATTCTAACCACTTACAAAATACAGCCCCATGCATAAAACAACCAAAGGAAGTTGGAAGAGGGAGACAACAGAATTGGAAATAAAGTATTAAACTAACTGGATATAGAAATTGTAAATACCTCCTGCAGAAGGCAGCTTTACTACATGAAACAACTCAGCGTCTCTAAGCCTCTGCTTAACTTCGCTCTAGAATCCTCTGTTAACTTCCTACAGCCTAGCAGGAGATTTCTTGACCTGAAAAGGCTAGACATTTGTTATTATGGCAGATCATGGGGGAAGCCAACAACATAGCCAATGATTTTGTCGAAGTTTTTGCTTCAGTTCCTTCTGAACTTTGAGTCCAACCAAACCATTGCTCAGAATCAGACATTATTAAGACAGAAAGTAAACCAGTATGCTAATATATAATGAACCTAATTTAAAAGGCATAAAGTGCATGTACCTGAAGAAAATTGACATTCTCCATGACAAAAATTAAAATCCCCAGGTTTATTCTAAAAGAGAAAGATTTCAGAAATACAACTAGCTTGTATGCCTTTAAAAGCAATGCTTATATAATCTGATATACTTCTCCATGAAGACAACTGAACGAACAGCTACATACTTGCCCGTGGCAGGGGGGTTAGAACTAGACGATCTTTAAGGTCCCTTCCAAACAAAACCATCCCCCATTGCCATGGGGGCAAACTTTTTAGAAGGGCCTGCTGTGATAGGACAAGGAGTAATGGTTTCAAACTAAAAGAGGGCAGATTCAGACTAGATATAAGGAATACATTTTTTACACTGAGGGTGGTGAAGCACTGGCACAGGTTGCCCAGAGAGGTGGTAGAAGCCCCATCCCTGGAAACATTCCAGGTCAGGTTGGACGGGGCTCTGAGCAACCTGATCTGGCTAAAGGTGTCCCTGCTCACTGCAGGGGGGTTGGACCAGATGGCCTCTAAAGGTCCCTTCCAGCCCAAACCATTCTATGATTCTATGATGCTACGCTTACTCTGACTAAAATAAAACCCAATTCTTTCCCTCTTAGAAAACCTATTCCGTATATGAACCCTGCTTTGTATTGGGTTGATACAGTCAAAGGTGAAGTGAATAGATGCTGAAAGCAAGCGCTACACATGAAGTCCTTTACCTGACTGGTTTGTTCTCAGGGCTAATGTCCCTGAAGCCCATCTCCTCCAGTCTGCAGCGTCTGTACAACTCATAATGTCGTGCATGAGTCTGCTCTCTTAAGTCTTCCATATTTGTGCAAATAAGCATCTTGCGAAGCTTTACAAAGTCACAGTGGTTCTCATTTTCCACTAATCAGTTAAAAGAGGAAGATTTCATTATTATGCCTAAATAGAAAAATTGTCAAAATATATTTTAAACAATGTTGAGATTAATTTATTTTTTTTACTAATTATACTTCCAGGAAAAGGTACCTTATTCTTTATTATACCTCTTATAATTTCTAACATACACATTGAAGTACTAAGTGTAAGTACTGCTGAACATGTTCCAACACATCCTGATTTCCTGTTCCAAGTTGCACAACAATAAATTTCTCTCTTTTCCCCCCCCTCTTTAGTGACAATCACCAAACTTTGAAATTTGGTAGTGCTAGAGGCACTGCCACCATACTAACCCACCCAAGTATTACATACGCCATCTCACAGCTTGATTCCAGCGATGCATCAGTGCTGATGAAACTACCAGTTAGTGTACACCTCAGGTATTAATTGCTAAACTCCTTAAACTGTTGATCCAAAATACAATCAATATGGCATCAGGGGATAATATCAGCCCCTTTAGTACCGAATTTTATACTTCAACAACAACAAAATACCTTTGAGGACTCATTTACCTTGTACAATGCCCCAAGAGTACTGACGAGCTCTCACTATTTTGTTTCCGATTTTCACCTCTTCCATACTTCCTACTACAGCAAATGGCAAATGCCCCTGTAAAAGTCACATCAATAGAGTCTTATGTGTTGGCATTCTTATGTCAGAATTGAAAAGTAAACACTTCAAAAATAAATTAAAGTGAAAAAAACACCATTTCAGGAAAAGCCAACAGGCAGTTTCAAACCAAAAACCGCTTTGAAGAGAACCGTAGCTAGTCAAACTACTGATACAATAGTCAAGCTACAATAACAAAACCAGAAGGAGTGGTTGGTAGACCAGATGGGCATGCTGCCAATTCAGAGGAACCTCGACAGGCTGGAGAAATGGGCCAACAGGAATCTCACGAAGTTCAAACGAGAGCAATGCCAAGTCCTGCACATCAGGAGGAATAACCCCATGCTCCAGCACATGCTGGGGGCCAACTGTCTGGAAAGGCACTTTGCAGAAAAAGAAGTGGGGTTCCTGGTGGACAACAGGTTGGACCTGATTCAGCAAGTCTGCCCCACTGGCAAAGGCGGCTGACTACATCCTGAGCTGCCTTAGGAAGCGTTATCAGCAGCAAATAGAAAGCTGCTGTAGAACACACCCCTCTGATCCGCATTCAGCCACAGTTCATATCCTCAGGAAGAGTCATGAGATGATCATAGGTTTGAACCCGGGGTACAGTTACTGCTGTGGCCTTGGTCAAATGGCCAGAAATACAGGCTGGGTACTGACTGCGTGCTGACCCACAGCAACTGACCAAATAAAAAAGAATACCTAGCAGAGCACGAAAGAGCCAAGTAACGGACCAGCACGTTTCCCCAAAGCAGAAGGACCTGTTACTGAACAACAGCCTGCACATCCTCACTCCAGGAACTACTGGAGAGAGTCCAGCGGAGGGCTATGAAGATGATGAGTGGACTGGAGCATCTCTCATACGAGGAAAGGCTGAGAGACCTGGGGCTCTTTACCCTGGAGAAGAGAAGACTGAGAGGGGACCTTATCAATGCTTATAAACGTCTAAAGGGTGGGTGTCAAGAGGATGGGGCCAGGCTCTTTTCAGAGGTGCCCAGTGACAGGACAAGGGGCAACGGGCACAAACCGGAGCACAGGAAGTTCTGCTTGAGCATGAGGAAAAACTTCTTTGAGGGTGGCAGAGCACTGGAACAGGCTGCCCAGTGAGGCTGTGAAGTCTCCTTCTCTGGGGATATTCCAAACCCGTTTGGACGTGATCCTGTGCAACCTGCTCTAGATGAACCTGCTTTAGCAGGGGGGTTGGACTAGATGATCTCCAGAGGTCTCTTCCAACCCTGACTGTTCTGTGATTCTGTGACTCCTTGGCACAACTGACAGAAGTCAGGACTGCAGAGCCATACACTCCAGCATACTGGCTCCCTCCCTACTTTGAAACCCCAGTACATGCAAACATATGTTCATGTGCATCTACAAACATATGCACATGAACAGCAAATACAGAGAGCTGAAAGCAAAGACACCTAGCTTCACAAGCTTAGTTGATCTGGGAAGATCTGAAAGGACAACAGTAAAAAAGCCAGAATTATATCTGACTTTTTAATCTCCAGAGAAAATTTGTACTAATTTCAAATGAAAGTACTAAATAAAAGGAAGAAGTAGACAGAAGACTTGCTATCCTAAAGACCAGAGAAAATTGGAGAAACAAGGCATTTGAATATCTTCCCTAACAGATGTAAGGTAGTATTTGCTGAAGAAAAAGAGCAAAGCCAATCTGTCCATCTATGTTACTAATTATATATTAATTATCCAGAAATTAGAAAAAGTATTTGTAAGTGAGAACCTCTTTTCTGTTGTTGAGCCAGAAAAAAAATAAGCCTCCTAAAACAAGTGGTATCAACAGCAGAGGGACAGGAAGATTTGTGAGTAGGTAAAAAAACGTCAAAACATACAAGAAGACAGAAAAACAAACAAACAAACTTGTTACATACAAACCTATAAGCCGCAAGACAATGGTGAAAAAGCAGGTGAAAAAGCAGGTGAAAAGAATTAGCATTAGAGAGTGATGCTTTAGTACCGAAATATCAATGTTTTTGTCATTTACTTACATTCATGATGGTATTAATTTCAGAAACGGTTTCATCATCAGTTGGAAACTGATATATCTGGATGCCACTACTAACTAATTCACTCATGATTTTGTTCTTGAACTTCTGTAGTTCAGGTTTAGAAATGCTGTCTGCTTTGCCTATAATTGGTATAATGTTCACCTGTTAAAGATAACAAATTGTATTACATGTGTGAGACTTCGATTTTGAGGTGACATCTTTTCTAAGTTTGGTGATAAGCTCTTTAAAACTGCCCCTGCAGTACAAACTTTTCCATCAATCGATATAAAAGCTTCACAAACCACGAAAAATACATTCACTGGCAACATTTAACAAAATAACAACAGATTATTTAATATACTCCCTTAAAATTAATTGATTCCGAGAAAAGAACAAGGAAGCAGGTCTCATACAGTGAAGTACTCAAAACAACAGCAATGCCTACTTATTAACTAAATTACATTAAGTATCTATATCTCTGCTAAAAAAATAGATTGTTTTCGTTTATAGCACTAGGGAACATGGTTCAGGTGTTAAATGAAAGCTGAAAGTTTAAATACACAGAGAAAAGGAAGCTGTCTAACAAACCCTGCCTACCCCTAACCCTCTTCCTTGAGTTCCTTTCAGCTACAACAACGTCTTCTTCACCTCACCACTGCAGCAGAGTTTCTCAAGTATCTGCTGAGAGCAGAGTAAAAGACAAAGACTGAAGAATCTTGCTTACCAGTCTTTACACTGACTATTCAGAATGCAAAATTCAGTTTTACTACGGTAAACTGCGCTATTTCCTAAAATAGTTATGACAGAACTTAGGAAGAGTTTTTCCTTAAAAATCCTATCACCATTCCCAAAGTATGCATTTTTCAGAACTAGATACAAAGAATTAATGCCAATGTCCAAATATTTCAGAAGAACAATACAAATAACTCTTCCAGATTTCAGAAGACGAGAGTTTTGCACAGGTCCTTGATCGCAGATGCAAAAGGAAGGACGGGGGAAAAAGAAAAAGAAAAAAAAACCACAACAAAAAATCCTGCACACTTTCTTTTTATTCTTTGGAATAGTCTATCTGAATGGAAATGCCTAAGCACGGATTCTCAAGAACAGATCCAAAATGGATGTTTTTGAAATAAGTCTTCTGTCTTAAGCAAAATGTCCAAATGAAAAAAAAAGCATGCCAACTCCAAAGTATGACTTCTAAGACTACCCGATAATAGTCCTTAATTGTGTAGCACACACAACCTAAGCATGTATGGGATAAAATATACAAAATCAAATAAAATGCTAGAATTTTTCTTTAATAACTGAGCTAATTTAGGATTGTATAAACAATCTTATAGCTAGGAGTAATTCACAGCTTCAGTCAAATTAGCTGAGGGACATCAATTTAGGTTTTCTATCATATAGCTTTAAAAATAGATGGAACACAGAGTTCTCAGAATTAAATTAACCTTTACTCTGTCTTTTCAACATGAAAGCTTTTCAAGCATTCGTTAATTAGGAAACAATTTATTAGATAATGCATAGCAGCAAAAAGACTACTGAGGAGACTAGTAACAAAAGAGCAAAATTGTAAGAAACTGTGATTACAGCTATCAACATCCACGTTAAATCACAACCATTGTACTAAAATTTAAAAGCAATACTACTCTGGCTTTAGGTAAGCAACAACATTAATTTCTCCTTGCAGCATCTATGGTTTACTAGCATCTCAGCACTTTCATCCATGAACAACATTCATTGAAAGCACACATTTGTAGTAACAAGAGACTTAAATTATGTTGATTTGTACCACATATAGATGTGCCCCAAGTCCCACTGCACCCTCCTATGCCTACCACTCACTTGGAAACCAACTGACTGCCCTCAGCCTCTTCCTCGGCTGCAACTCTCAACAACTCTAAAACTGAATTTTGCTAAACAGCTATAGGCCATTAACATAGAATCACTTTAACCCCTCACAAAAAGTCTACATTTGCAATAAAACCAACAGGCCTACCCTTCCCCTTGCCTGCAGCTGCTCATTGCCAGGTAGAACTAAAATCTGTGCAGCTGTCCAAGAAGACAGATTACTTTCAAGCTTGATCAGTTCCCTAACCAAGCAAAAATCTCTAGCTTTCAATTTAAATCAGTTCCCTCATCCAGGGAACTGGCTGCCCACAACACTTATGCATGCACAATGGGAAGAAGCCGCCTCATTCAGTAGCAGTGCAGAATGACCATACGAAGTCACCAGGATAAACTTCATCCATGCAGATCACTTCTCTGTTTGCTAGCACCAGTTCAGCCCTCTGATCATCCTTCTGCCTGAAATGCAGAGTCGCTTCCCCCCCAATTAGAAAACACGCTATTACTCTAAATTAAGATATTCATCTAACACCTTACACTAACACCAAAGCATCTGTTGACCCTTTATGCTATAGAGAAGGGAAAACATTCATATCCTTGAAATTATTATTGGCTGATATCTTGCAGGCTGATTTAAGTGTATCTCTATGAATCAATACAAAAATTTCCAAAGAGCCTTTTTGAAGGAAAAAAAAAAAGAAACCAAACTGAAACCCCCACAAGGTACGCTCATGTCATTTCCTGACTTAACGGTAATCTGCACATAACTCTGCAAGAATGACTTAAAAACGTAGATGTATAGTTGTATAATCACTAGTTCCCAGCAAGAAATCATGCAGAAGAAGAGTCCCTTCATCTGTAAATGAAAACTGGCTGGTCCGTAGTGATTCAGTCCTAAGCAAAACTACAGGACTTTCCAATGTCTAAAAGCTAGAGGCCAAATCCTTAGCTAGTCATCCAATTTATAAGCAACAGAGAAAAATTAATTGCCCACAGATATGTGTGGTGTTTTCTCCCAGGATTATAGAGTATAGCACGACCCTATAGTACCTCAAGAATGCTCTTTACCCCTGAGCTGTTTAATCTGGTCTTGTTTTGTACCAAACAGACTGTAGCAAAAGCATAACAGTCTACACTGTGGTGGATTTAGGAACAAACTGAAGGCAACATTTGACACAGATTTATAGACTTGACATATGCATGTGCCACCTTCTCTTTATGGAATCCCGTACTCAGCAAATGTGCCCAGGGACTTCCACATCCTGGGGAAGCCTGAGTTCTGAACTGCCACTAAATGCAGTACTAAAAGCATCACAAACATGTTCCACAATGAGATGTAAACCAAACTACAGTTAAAGTTTATACTTTTTTTTATGTACATGTATATTTCTGTAGTAAGATCAGAAAGTAGAATCCATTGCAAAGGGATAAAACAACAGTTACATGTCATTCCTGTTCTCTCTGAGCCAAGAATATTTAGAGTAAGTGGTCAGAAGCTAATATCCCCCAAAGCAGAATTACTTTTGGTTTATCCTGACGGAAAAACATTTTCTCAGGATGCTGGGACTCATGGATCTATTTCTTTTTCTTTTGGAAGAACCACTGTCTTAAAGGGAGTTCAGTAAAGAGAGGGCACAACCTAGAAACCAAGTATTTTTGAGGTTTAACACAACCCCCAACTTCAAAACTCAAGGTAGAACTATATGCTCCATGAAACTGTCCCATTTTCTAGTATCAAGGCTCCTTAGCTATAAGCGTATTACAGAGCAGTTCCACAAACTGGCATAAACCAACACCATAGCAGAAAGGAGTGACCCTGCTCTCCCCTACCTTTGTCTCACCATACCTCCCCCCCACTTCCTCTGTACTATTGAGAAAGTTCAAAATGCAAAATACATCCACAAACAAAATTACAAAAACACTAAACGTGCTCATCAGTCACAAATGGAGAGCAGACAGCTGAATTGATCCTTGTTATCTTGAAGAAATATCTCACTAAAAAGAAAATGCAGAAAGAAAATTTAGCAGGACAGGCTCAAGTAAAGCACAAAGAAAAGGGCTAGAGGAACAGCAAATACATTTAAGTTTTCAAATTTCTCAAAATTTGGAATGATGAAAAAACTCAAATGATGTACGGTTTCTTAAAATGGTTTAAACATTTAGCTTCATCCAGTTCACACAGCCCCATTAATGGAAGAAAGTTAATAAACTAAAAAGTACAAGTAATCTCACTAGAAACTGCCCTTTTAAAGCTTTCAAAACAAATCAAGATGTGAAGTTTAAAACACTAACGCAGCCTTTCTTAGAAAAGGCCATGCTGGCAGGGTGTTCTGTTCATGGCACTTGCCTCTTCAGTTATAGATAACAAAGATCTCCACAGTGCTGCAAAGCTTTTTATATGCCAACTTTGCAGCAGTCACAAAAAACTCAACAGTAAACTAGAAACAAGCTTAATTAGAAATATTACAGGACTCATGGAGGGTACCATATCCAATCACAATAAGATGTTAACAGTTTGTTAAAAGTAAAGTTGGCATGGTTCTAATTTTTTTTACTTTTTTTTAAACCTTGTTGTGCTTCTTTTTCTCAACGTTCTTGCTGGATGTCTCTCTCTTCTTTTGATTTGTAAATAAACAGGTGATGAACTGCAAGCTACTTGGGGAACCAATTTATCCTGAACTTAAGGTATACCAATACCAAAAAACATCACAAAACCAAAGACATGGATATAGAACTGAAAGGTGGCAGAGGACATAAAAGCTGCGAGATGCTTCAGAAAAGGAGACAAATTGTTAGAACTCTGTTTCAAAGTCTTACCTTGCTGTCTAGGCTTTTCATGGTTAACAAATCTAGGGTTTTTAGGGAATGGCCTGTAGGCGAAATGAAATAGAGGCAGACATGGATGCGAGTATCATGGTAGCTAAATAAAGAACGTTTAATTTTCAGTTCTTCCTGGAGATAGGCTTCAAACTGTGCATCTATATAATCCACTATTGGCTGATAGCTGTAAGAAATAAATTTAAGAACCAGAGATTAGCTACTCCTAAACAGAGCCAGACTAAGAAATAAATTCCTCTTGTATTGTTTTGTGGATTTTTGCTTGACATGTCAAAAGGCTGCTCAAGTATCTACCCAGTACACTAGAAAATTAAATGTAATGAGTAATCTCAATTTCTGAAAGGCTACTCAAAAAAGAATTGTGCACCTAACACAGATAAAACATTTCCTAGCTTCAATTAGTGAAAAAAGCTACATAAAGTGAGTTATGATTGTGACTGCTCTTCCTAAGTGATGTTTTAAAATTTTTTGCAATCAAGCTGTGCAACTGCAGAACTCTTAGATACAAGGAAGATGCAAGATACAAGAAAAGAAAGAATATGCAATTACCAGTACCAAGAAATAGGACCTCCTTTATCTTCTGAAGTACTGTACATGAGAGAGCTCTTAAACAATAGACAAAAATTGAAAAGGAGGAATGTAAGAGAAGAATGTAAATTTGATTTGCAGTAAGCACAGTTTAAGTATACTTTATCCTACTTAAAACCACATTATCATCTGCTTTCTAAAAGAAAGTGTTGCCAGATGTACAAGTAGCATGCCCTTTCGTTTCTACTGCCACACCAAGTTTATAAACCAGATCAAATGCTATCCAACTCAGAAGTAGTTGTTACATACAACAATTTAAAGGACTAAAAGGCAGTGCCTATACCACCATCAAAACCTATACTAGTATCTACTTGCATCTCATTCATCCAAGTCACTAGCAGTAGTTATTTTCCAGTCATATCATAAAACATAGATCTCATGATAATATGACTCTAACCTTCATTTGTAATTACAACCATTTAGGTAATCATATAGTGCAAAGGATTGTTAAAATTCTTTACAAATAAAGTGAAAGAAACAAAATCTGGCAAGAGATAGCTCAAGATTTTAAAATCTTCATTCATAAAAGCAGAGACTCAAAAACAGTTCTGAAAGACAATAGCATGGTACCTCCACATCTTCTGATTAAGCTGTCAAACAAAAAATAAAGGCCTTCGGTAATCCACGTGATACTCCTTCCAGGTTAAGGTCTTCAATATGTTCCAATCAAACTGTTAAAAAACCTATAGATCTAAACTATATAATCTACAGTACCTTCTAACATCTTTGATTGTTTAAAAAGTCTCCTGTTGACCTTCTGCCTGCTTTCCTCCACCCCAAAAGAAACTCTATTCACTACTGCACATTTTATTTATATACTATATCATAAAGAAAGGGGCAGAGTTCATCTGATTTCTCAAATCATTTCCTAGATGAGAGGAAAAAACATGTTTACTTTGGTACACGGAGAAAACAGTTAACCAAGTATTTGGAACATATGCAAGACAAATATTTACTACAAAGCCCAAAGAAAAATCAACTTTCAATGGAAGACCAAAACTTCTGTACACCATAGCAACAAGAGGGCACTTACCTATCTTCTTTGTTTATCTGGTCACCAAATCCCACTGTATTTACAACGGTCAGCTTCAAAAGAACATTACTTTCCTGGAGTTCATAAGTCTGGGCTCTAAGTCGTACACTTGGCAGAAAATGCATTGACACAGGGTCATCAAAATTGGTGTTAAACAAACTGTTTATCAAGGTTGATTTCCCACTTCCAGTTTCCCCTGAAGTTAAACAGAAGGATTGTGGAACACATTTCGCATGTCAAATAAATACCTACTAAGCACAGAAAGCATTTATCACAGCAACTCGACAAATTCACACAAAAACTTGTCAACCGTTTTCTCCAAGAAAAATTGCTGCCTGAATTCCTTTTTCATAATGAGCACTAAGTATCTTTTAGTTATTTTTTTCATCCTATAGATAAGAGAGAGTTACCTGCTAATGAGTAATGATCAGAGCAGTCTCTTGACACTTTGGTTTTTTCAAAAGTGTGAACTAATTTCCCACAGATTTTAAAAAGCTAAGTTACTAGCTCTGAAACCATGGGGTTCCACACAGGGTTTTTATGAATAAGGGTAAAATACTAGTGCAAAGATTTGATAAGTATAGAAATAATTCAGTAACACCACCTTGGAATTTCAGGATTTTTTTGATCTGAAGCGCTCTGTTAGAGTAAAAATAGAGTGTAGCCCACTTTACTCAAAAGGATCCAAGAAAGTGCCCATAAATTAATAAATGCACAGCAGCCATTTTCAACATTTTCGGTCTTCACATTATGACAATCCTACATATAAGAACAAAGGATGGATACAAATAAGCAAGGCTGGGGGAAGAGGGGGGATTATAGTTCATGTTTAACATTAAAGAAAGAGCTTGACATCGGAACAGGCTGCCCAGGGAAGTGGTGGAGCCACCGTACCTGGAGGTATTTAAAAGACGTGTGGATGTGGTGCTTAGGGATGTGGTTTAGGGTGGACTCGGCAGTGCTAGGTTAGCAGTTGGATTCTGTTATCTTAAAGGTCTTTTCCAACCTAAAACATTCTATGATCCTACGATTGCAACTGGATTTAAATTTCAGTCATTCCTAAGGGCAAGTATACTACCAAAGCCTTAAGCCACCCAGCTGCTACTTACCGATGCAAAGAATGTTGAAGCAGAAGCCCTGCTTGATGGATTTTTTAACCAGTTGATCAGGTAAACTACCAAAACCAACATGACCGGACAAAGATAAGGTTCGATAGCCATCATTTTGCTACAGAAAAACATTTAAAAATATGTTAGTGAAGTGAGTTGCAAAGCAATTAGCAATGGCAACAAATGAACTCTACTTAGTGAGCTAGAACTCATTCCTTGTGAGTTACATGGAACCAAGAAAAGCAAAAGTCTGAAAAAAGACATATCAAATCAACTTTATTCCATGGTGTGAGAAAACATTCCAATTTACTTTACAGAACTATTTGCCGGCTCAAAGGGAACCCACATTTTGCAAAATAAAAAAAAAAAAAAAACAAACCACCATGAAACATGAAAGAAAGCAGACAAGTCAACTGAAAATGTAAACTGAAAACTGTAGACAGAGAATAGATTACAGTTGGTTTGCTCTTAGAAATGAAGAAAAAAATATTTTATAACAATTTAATATGCAGAATTCAAAATAGAGACCATAATCACAGGAAGGTGTATGTTATCAATCAGAACTCATTCTGAGTAGCTGGAATTGACATTGTCATTTCTGGAAAATAACACATTATCTACACACCAGAACTCTAAGAGATAATATTATATATCTATTATTAGAAATGTCTAGAGGTGGACATTCCTTTTCAAACATCAGCTAGCAATCTAGTATCATGAGGCTATGAGCATACTAAAAATGCATAAGAGTAAAAGGAAATATCTTGGTTCATATAAATGAGCTGTATTTTTAAACAATCATTCCATATCAAAAGTGTAAACAGTGACAGCTCCAGGCCGTTCTTTCTCTTATGTTTCCAACCCACACGGAATTGGAAACCGTTACGGGTTTCTGGGAACATGCATATAGACAACAGTAGGAAGTTTTTTATTTAATGCTTACAAGCCCATAAAAGGGCCACTTTTCATAGTAGGTATGTATAGCAAGTTTCAGAATTCTTGTAGCTAACAGAATATGGACATTCCTCACAGCAAATGCTCATCCTCTTCTTGTTTTGCACAGGACTTCTTGCGTGGGGCTACAGACTGCACCAACTCTCATTTTAGACTATTATAATCAGATAACTCCATTTTAGAATAATATAATGAGGAAAAATGTGTAAGTAAAGTGAACAATTCAAAGAGAAAATATCACCCTAAGGCTATTTAAAAAAATGTTCGTACAAAGCATGTCTGAAAAAGAAATTGCAATTCCATTCTATCATATGGAAACCACTACTAAAAAGGGCTGAGAAACACTGAAAACTGTCGGCATCCTGTCCATTTAAAGACAAGCGTATCTGAGACAGCGTGGCAGCACATCTAACAACTATAGTTACACAGTCTGATATTCAAACCACCTCTGTCACCACCAATATAAGACAGTTCCTCTACAACAAACCATTGAGCCTCCACACTGAAAGCCAGTGCAAGAGGCTCAGCATATCTGTGCAAGGGAGGCCTTTTGTCTTCACATCACCAGCCTAAATCCAAACCGTGCCGGGCTACCTTCAAAATCCCTACATAGCCACTTGTGAGTCTCCAAGAAAAAATCCTAGCAGAAAGAACTTCTTCCAGTCCACTTGGATTTCAGTGGACAAACCACCAATACCCACAATGTTACTGACCATTTCCAGAGATCACATCATCCACAAGAGACTAGTCGGGATCAAAAAGTGTTTAGCTGAGGAAATGGGTATTACAGCTGTATTTGCTGTACAAAACTAAGCACAGAAACAGACCAGTAGAGTCCTCACAGCCATTAACTCCGTAACTTCATTTTCAAATGGAAGGGAGAGATTAATTACAACTGAGCAATTAAATTCAGGAGTCTACTGTTTTCTGGAAGTGAAAATCAACAATAATTAGTTCTTCCACTGTTATATCGGCTGTTTATCACTGAAAATTTGGCCAAATTTCTGTGTGAAACAGAGGACAATGAGAAATAATAAACGTGAAAAACAAGGTGCCTTCTCTGTGCTTTGCTTAGAAAGCTAAGGCTACGCTTGTAACTCAACAGACATCTGGCTGTATCCCTACTTAAAAATTCATAGCAGAAGTCCAAGATGGTTAAGTTCTTTGTATTTCTAAACTTCTCCCAAAGATGCTTCTTATTGATACGTATTGCAGTCAGGAAAGAGAGTACCAATTTCTGCAATAAGTATTTATGCAATTGCTGAGATATTCTGAGACATCTCGAATTTGCTGCTATTTTAAGATAGCATATTTCATCTTTCTTCAGTATATAAAAGTTAATTTAATGACACTACATGGTTATGAGGGAAAATTAACCCCATTTTTCTGGAAATACAAATATATAGAAGTACATGGCAAGTTCTAGGTCATTTCAGACAAAAAATTGACACAAGACAGAAAAGTCCTGGTAAGTTGTAAAAACCAATTATAGAAGCTGCTGCTTAGAAGAACTTCCCCAGTAGAGAAATTGTGCTTTATACACAGCTTTCTGCAGCACTGTCCTGGGGTGGGGGGAAGAGACGTACCATCTTCACTTTGTGCATACGGAGGTGACACAAAGATATTAGTTGCGATAAAAAGGAAAGACTAAGAGAGCAATAACATGAATCTCATTCACCCCACGTGTAATTTAGCACCTTAGGCACAAGATCACTCTTTCTATTTCTTTCTGTCAGAGGTAATGACACAGTAAACCAAAAAAACCCCTAACCACCCCCCCACCAAAACCTCACATGTTCACAAGCGGAGTGTGACCTAACAAGGAGAATGTCAGCAGAACATACAGCAGAGGGGAGAACAAGAATTTCAAGCACAAACAACACTATTTATATCATTCATGAGAACATGATGTCATGTTTTGATGTCTTGTCCTAAGGTTCTTGTATTAAAGAGAAGATTGGCAAACAGAAGGATGATCAGAAAGGGGTAATTCAGGGTCTCAAAAAACAGTTTTAGAGAGAAACCGTACAGAAACAAAGTCTACGTAAGGTCTTTCAAGAAAATGGCCAGAGTTGACTTGATCACGGTACATATAATAAGATGATTTCTGGTAGCACGCACATGCAAAATAAAAAAGCCAACACTACATTACGAGCAAAATTTTAAAAACTAGAGACAGAAAGATGGAGAATCTACTTATATGTTAAAACACAACTGCTTTTTTAGGGGTTTTCACTGCTATTGGGCTGTTCAGACACTTGTCCTAAGACACAATGGAGTCTTCGGGAATCAGCTTCACGAAAAATGCTCCAGTAAAAGCTCTTAATGCAGACTATGAAACTTTCAAGAAATATTGTGCAGCTCAACTTGAGACAGTCTCAGTCACGCCGATTTAGAAGCCTACATTCTTGCATGTTTATACTTCTCCACGTAACAAACGCTACAGGACTGAGAGCTACTGTTCTCATTTGGAGACTTGCCTCCTTTCACTTTCCTTATGGAAGAATCACTTTGTGAATCTGTTCCATCTGGCATCAGTTGAAGCATTCTCTTAATAGAAAAGCAGTAGCCTACGTTTTTCCTTCTGATTTTTTTCAAGGGCATCACGTGTCTCTCCCTCAACGCCAGCACCTCATACAGCTTCACTCTCCTACAGTCTAACAAATATGCAGAGACATTAAATCCACAAAACTGACCACATGATGTCTGCATTCTTACTACTTCTCAAAGAAATAATGTCATCCAGTTGAAAAACAAGTTACTACCGTATCACCAGTTTAGAAAAATGCTGATGACTCAAAAATTAAGAAATGTAAATCATGCTGAAAGTCACCATGTTAGCCAGTCTTTTCAAATTAGTATCCATTGGATGGAGCAGCTAAATTACGCTTGAAGGCAGCATCTCACCCAGCTTTATTCAGTGAATAACTCAAAGCTTGTAATCTGAATGCTACGCCAGCTGTAATATTCCCGTAAATACTTCTCATTGCTTTCTCAGAATTCCTATTCTCAACAAAACAGCAAGCAATATAGATTGCTTGAGACAATCCAAATGGCATCTCACTTCCTTTTTAAAGGGTTGGTAGCATAGCTTTCACAGAACCGTACCTGGATTTCTGCAAATTCCATTTTATCAAGTATATTGGTTTATATAGAGCCATCTTGCCCATTAAAAACGGCGTGCAAAGAAAAAAAATCACTGCCTGAGACAAAGGTAACATTTAAATATTGCATTTTTCTTTCAGAAACAAACTAAAAAAAAATAGCTGTCTTTTAAATTTGCTACATATTTCAGACTAAAACTGCACAACACTGGGCCACTCCACAGCAAAAGCTGGGTCTCAGACTACATGCATCTCTCTGCACAAGCCTCCTGCAGAGCCAGACTTGCAGTCCAGACAAACAACTACTTGCTACTCGGCTTGCAGGGACGACTGAAATTTGCCCTCCAAAGCTTGAAGGAAAAAAGTGATCAATGTTCGTGTGCTTAGGCAGGACCTGAGGGTCCTCCCAGGCCCAGGCAGCTACGCAGGCTGCGCAGAGGCCCTCGGAAAGATGCCTGGGCACCAGCCACGAGGGCGGACGCCAACACGTTAATGTTCCCATGGGCGCTCCAAATACGACTCTTTCAGAGCCCTGAGTTTTCCATATCATGAGCGGGTGTGGACATTCATTAAACCAAAAAAATCTATTTTACTCTTCCAATAACAAATAGCATTACTCTCTTACGGTCAATTACTTTTCTAATAATCAAAGTTACATTTAATCCACTAAATATCAATGTTGCTATTGCCTCAGAACACATGGGGTAAGTAGGAAACTAAACAGATTTTGGAAGCAAGTAGAAAAATACTTTCCATTTTTGGGTAGTCGTGTGGTGTAGACGTGTGGTGTAGGCATGCATACCATTGACATCTCTTGATGTTGATACATGCATGGGAGAGAGACAGAGAACAGATAGGATGAGTAGAAGGAACAGAAAGGAAACCTTGGCAAAATAACACAGAAAAGAACAGAAAATACAGGAGGACAAAGCAGAAAAAAAAATACAAAGAAAAGCCCGTGAAGATACGGAGTAAGAAAGGAGATAACATTACAAATTACATGGAATTAATACATGAGTCTGTTCTATAAAATGAAAAGCAAAGCAAGATACATGAGTAC